AAAAAAAAAAAAAAAAAAAAAAAAAAAAGAGTCACCTTTCAAAAATGCTGCTAGTGAGTTATATGTCTCGACAGGTATCCAATACTTACCCCTCAGAGGTGTTCTTTCAGGGGCTCTAGCTCCCTACCAAATGGAAGTGTTTGCATTCCCAGTCATTTGGACAAAGCTTAGCATGATAAAATGATTTGTTATGCCAATAAAGTTTTTTTTCACTATAAAATGGTTTGTTACACTACTATTGCTACATAAAAATGTTATGAAAATTAAGCAGGTAGTAAGGTCCATAAAGGAATAGTCTGCTTTTGGGACTAGCTACCAGGAAAAGGTAAAAAGAATTATTTCATTATCTACATACAGTTCTGCAGTTCTTTGTAAAGACAACCTAAATGACCTTTTAACTAACAACTGAAATTGGTACTCCAATTAGGAAAGCAGTTATGCATCCAAAAGGGATGGGAACTTTTTCAAGTTAGTAGTATTCAGAAAATGGAAGGAAATGGAAAATTATTTGATAATCCAGGTGGTGACTTCTGTGTTGTGGCACAATACATGAAACAAGCCTAAATTACAATTCAGAATGGAAACTGAAGTACAGATTCATGGTATGTTAATCATATCATGTCACGGATGGCATAGCAAGATAGTAAAATTGGAGGAAAACTTTACTTTTCATACTGTATTTTAATTTTAGCATTGTTTATATAAATCAAAGCACTAGCTGAAATGGGAAACTCTTTAATTCACAGTCATGACTTATAAGTTCATGGCACATTTTAAATTTTCAATTTAATCAAAATTTTGAATTTTATTTAATCCAGCACAGCAATCAATCAGTTCTTTAGAAAGGGAAGGCCAGTTACATCTTACAACTTATAATTATTACAGAATTTATATATTTTTAAATTTAATATTTTTTAGTTTATATATATTAGTTGTGTTTATTCTAATAGTCTAATATTAATATTTGTATTCCTGTCATTTGACAGAACGGTACTGCACTGACAAGTTGTTGATCACTTCCTGTGATCAACAACCAGCTGTATTTGAAAATAATTTTTCAAAATAATTTTAAATTTAAAAATAATTTTAAATTTACCAGTGAGATTTATTCCACAGATGCCTTCTACTTTGCAAGTGGTAGTATAAACCAGATTGTTAGCAAAACATCTTGAAATACTGAAGAGACCAGAAATATGTATCCCTTCTGGCTGCTCAGACCATGTAGCTCACCTGACTAGCAGGTGTGGACTGCGCCTGTGCTCCCACTGTCTAACAGGCCCTGGTGGCCATGGTTAGGACCATGAGCCATGAGCATTTATGTTCTCAAAACAGGTCTGGACATCTTGGGTCATCGATCCTGTGTGTAACCACTTGGGCTCAGCCAGTTGCACTGCACTACACACAGCCAAGAAGAGAAAGAGCTACCACTTCTAGGAGATCACACACAGCTCATGCCAAACAACCTGTCAACCACAGGCAGAAGCAGCCAAGAGGAAAAACTGTGGCCAAGACTGGGTTGTTGCTCCGAAAGCAACTCATTGAGTCCCAGCACTTCCCTGCACTGCAGGCTTTTATAAAAACTTCTTGTAATTGAATTTTTTGTCTGGTGCTGCAACAAATGTGGTCAATGGAGGTAGAGTGTTCTGAAAACGCAGAGTTCAGGGAGAGAGAGAATTACATGGTTAAATATAAATACATACTTTAATTCCTAATATTATATGACCTTTTTCAAGGATTAATCCATAGCTGAGTCTGTGAAGAAACTTAGCTACGTATCGTGCAAAATACATACACAATCAGGGCTGAAAAAATGGTGTCATTGATTGGGAACTACTGAAAGGTTTAGGCAAATTAATTTTGGGTAAATCTACTTTGCTTTGCTCTACATCTCAATGAATGAGAACCAAGGACTCAAGTTAATTTCCACCCATCCCAGCTATGGCCAGAATGGGTACTATGCCTGCACAGAGCTTGAAGAGATATAAGGAAAAAAAAGAACAGCGCACATTTTAATAATATTATTAAATAATATTAATAATAATTAATTATTAATTTATTATTAATAATTATATAATTCTCTAACACAATTAAAACACAATTTAAAATCTCTGCAGCCATCCATCACTCACTACACCCCCTTTCCAGGACATGCAGCAAGAGCAGGCTGCGTGTGAAAGGACCAATGGAATCCCAGCACGAGAAGAACCGTGAACTTACGGAGAGCAGTATTTGGATAGCACTGTGAATGACCTCTAGGTACTGGAAATCAATGATGCAGCCTGTCACGGAGACATAGGAGTAATCCTCGAGGATGCCAGGGGAAGAAGGACGCACCACCCTTCGTATGCAGCCGGGCCCGTGCTCCCGCCACCAGGAGCGGTGCATTGAGATGTTAAAGGTCATGAGATCCGTTTCCTAGGAGAGGGAGGGGAAAAAGTGTGAACACATTTGACTTTCTGTTTTTAAGGTAAAGAAAGGGGAAATAAAAGATATTTTCTATTATAAGGGCAATGAGGCAATTATCCTTAATCGTCACCCCAGTAATTCTAACATGAAAGTAGAATGTTAAAGTGGAGAGAGGAAATGGCAAACATTCATTGCTAATTTTGCAGTTGTGCACAGTCACTTCTGCCTGACATAAGAACCATCCTACCAGGTACTGTACAAACACATGTTCCCTTGGACTTACTGCCTGAAAAACAATTTTAATGTTACTTTATTAGAATGCTAGAATGTCACTTAAGGATGCTTCTTTTTTTTTTTTTTTTTTTTTTAACAGACAATAGAACCAGTTTTACCCCATGGTACTGGAGACAACCTGAATGAAATGTACATAATCTTTGATGATTTTCATCACCACATTCAAATGAGATGTTTCCAGCCAAGCATCCTGCTCTCTTTTCTTCCCTCTGCCCCTCATCCAGATTACCAACTTCTCAGTTTAGAGAAGGGACCTACATTTGTGAAATGATCTGGGTTTAAAATAAAAGCAGTTAGTTCTCTTCACTCAAATAATTTTCCAGATCAGATATTAAACATAACCAGATGAGTACTGATTGCACTCTAACCCACACAGGATGTGTACTGTCTGTGCATTTTAGTAAACATCATACAACTTCCACGTGGAGCAGTGAAAGTGGCAAACCTACCAATGTACTAAAGATTTTCTAAGAGCTTACCTATGAAGTACAAGCAGGAAAATTCATTTGAATTAACAAAACATGTGGTTCTTCAGGTCACGTATAAAAAAAAATACATGTATAAAAAAAATAAAAATACACTCAAGTTGAATGAATGCCATTTAAATGCAAAAAAACACCCAACCTCCTCACTGAAGAAAAATGGGAGTTGAGTTATACTGATATTTTAAATAATTAATTCAGATTTATGTTCCCATATTTCCCATTCTGAACTCCAAGTAAAAAATGTCTGCAAAATTGTCAACCATATGCCCACAAAATACCCCTGCCTTCCATACATGACAGTTTGTGAGCACTGCCATGACACCAATTTGCCCTTTGAGTCCCACAAATATGTCCTGTCTGTGGCCATTTACTTCTACCCTGGCCAAAGGGAAATTCAGTCCAGATTCCAGTTGCAGAAGCAGTTAATTTGTTATTTTCCTTCATTATTTACCTTTATTCTGGACACACCTGAAAATTAACATGGGAATTAAATCCTGCCACCCTAACTATATCCTAGTTATCAGTTAGAAATCTGCCTTTGTGATCTGCTGGTTTTTCTCTCCACCTCTTCTCTACCCTTTAAATACAGAGTTGCTAGATTTCCAAATGCATTATTTCGAGTTGATGAGGCATTTGTCTTTTGCCTTTGCATGTCAATCCTTGATACTAGTTTAGAAAATTTTCAGCTGCAACATGAAAACAGCTTGTGAAATAAGAAGCTGACAAACAACTCAGTTTAATGAAAATATAATCATGAACATAGAGTCACAGGAAACAGCCAGGGCTTTCTTTGTACAACAATGCCAGAGATTGCACAGTGTTATCAAGTGCTTTTAAAGATTGTCAACTCAAAGAAATGCCATTTGTCAAGCAGCACACACATATTCAATCTAACCTAGCTCAGAAGCCCTTTGCTGAGAAGGAATATGATTTGGTGGGTTAGTGTGTATCACATATTGTGAGATAACACTTTTTTATCAAACTGGGGGAATAAGTTGTGGCATCCATGGTGTTGGTGTCACAGCTTCTTTTGCCCTTGAAGGTTTATTTATCCTTTGCTGTTTTTTGTCTTTATGTTTTAAAAATCATAGTTTGTTACAGTACTCATACTTGGCTAGTTCACAGCCAATGACAAACAACCAGTTTGTCAAACAGCTTGATAAATTTTGCCAACACATGTAAAATGTAAGATTTTGCATATGAACAGTAGAAACCCTTTATAAATAAAATCTTTCATTTCTGGAATACTGTTATGTGTGGCTCTTGGGGTGATTTAAAAAACATGTTTACTTGATGGTCATGGTCATGTTCATGTTTTGAGGCTGCTGGTGATTCAGGTAAAAAGAAAACAGAAAAAAAAACCCAAAATAACAAAAAAAACCCAAACAAACATACAAAAAAACCCAAACAAACAAAAAACAAACAAACAAAAAAACAAAACAAAACAAAAAAAAAAACCAAAAAACCAAACCAAAAAACCCCCCAAACAAAGAAAGAAACAAAAAAACAACCAAAAAGTCATCACAGCATTTGCTACCTTTTTAAAAATAAATTCTCATTCAGAAATTCTGGATAAAGTCTAAAAGAGGAGATTTTCATAATTATTTTTCACTTTGTGTATTACACCCTGAGCGCTCAAAGCAGGTAAAACCAGATAATGATGGCCCAGCAAGGATCAGTTTTAGAAATGCAAACAAAACCACTTGGTGCATTAGCTTGACCTCTGAAATATCACTTCACAAAATGGCAACCATAAGCCGTTCAAGCTGATAAATGTTAAGCTGCCAATCAATAAAAGAAAGCCTGACAACAGAAAAATCAATTTTTACTTTTTTTTTTTTTTTTTTTTTTATCAGCTGAAACACTTCTCCCTAACTACTTGGAGATTCTTAATCTGTAAAGTGAGTCCAATGCAACAAGAATTAAAAACATTAACCTGTATCTTTAAAGTCATTTACAGAACCATAGAAAATTCAAAGACTCTTTGCTGGGATGTACAGGTTTTAAATATCAGTGAACTTCTGAGAGTGTTTTGGTATTTGTAAATTCACAGCTTGGAAACTCTGAGCATGCTGGAAAAGCTGCTGCCCAAGTGGCTTATTTTCAGTTCTACATTAAATCAAAGTTAAGAATTTTCAGAAAGTACAAGCAGATGCCTAAAGTTTTTCAATAGATCATTTACTATCTTCTAATTTTTCATATTAAAAAAATGTATAAAATGTTTAATCATCAGTGACAAGTCAAATGCTTATTTCTTAGGAAAAAATGCTGCTGCTTCAAAGCAAGGCTTTAATGTCAGGCTCTGAGAAACCAAGAGAAACCAAATTGTCCTTCTAACTAATCCAGTTGGGATTCATTTAACAGTTCAAATTTCTATAATGGATTTAAAATTGCTCTCCTCTGAGCATACATCTTGACTTTAATACCATTCATCAGAAGATAAACTATACTTCCTCAGCTGATAACTACTCAGACAGACACCATGAGCAGAGAAGGGGCAGAACACAGGCAACAGGTCCTCCAGGAAAATTGTGAGATTTAGAGAAGTGACACAGGGAAGTGAAACCCCATCTCCTACTCTTCCCTCCTTTAGTCAGCATTAAAGCAATACTCCAATCTGTGGTAAGAAGTTTGCTCCTGAGTATAGGATCAGCCCCATAATCACACTTTACTGATGCAGAGTCCCACTTAACTGTCTACAGCATTTTAAGCCTTTAAACTATACATAGGATTTGTGTTGGCTGTCAGCCCAAGGATTAATTTTGATTATTATTGGAAATCATTGCTATGGCAGATACATTCTTTTAAGGTGAGATGTAATCCCTGTGAGTCTGAGTAATGCTGTTTCTAAGTGCTTGGGGATAATGTTTAATTTTATTATGTCTGCTTAAATTCTACATTTGGTTTCAAGTGGAAATTTTCTGTTGGGCAGGGCTTTGAGCAACCTGATCTAGTGAAAGATGTCCCTGCCCATAGCAGGGAGGTCAGTCTAGATGATCTTTGAAGATGCCTTCTGATCCAAAGAATTCTGTGATTTTTTTGATTCAATTTTTGGTGGTGAATCTAGGTAGAATTTAACAAATCATAGCATAAGATGGCTTATTTTAAAACTAAAGAGAAATTAAAGACATGATGTACCTTTCATTTATTTGTGTAAAATTTACACACAGTATGTATAACAACAAAAAAAAATTAATGAGAAATTAGGACTACCTAGAATCACTAGTTTTAAGGAAAACAAAAAGAAGGCACTGAAACTCCAGGGAGAAAACCCCATGCACCAAGATTGCCTTGCATAACAAACAAATATTATGCTGCAGCATAACTACCACCACACCTATTTGTTTTTTCAGTGTATGCTTCTGCTTTATGACATGTTATTTTCTATTTCTTTCATTACTTGTTGGTATTTGAAAATACACTCTTTGGAAAAGTATAATAAAAATATTATTTAAGCAGGATCGGAGGAAAACCCCTTTTTTTCTTCAGAAAACAGCAGTCACCACTTGAAATTTTATAGACAAGTGAAAGGCCACAAAGACTTGGCAAAACATGATGTTAGAGACCTTGACTTTATTGTTGCTTGTGTGGTACCTAGCCTTTCCTAACACTTTTTATTTTATTGATACACATTATATTGCTTATTATGAATGGGCATTAGGCTGAGGCATTAAATATTCCCATTCCATTTCCTAAGTGTAACAAGGATGCTCTGTTCTGACTTGCTACACATATTTGGTTTAAGCAGTGAGGAGAAAAGATTTTCAATCAAACACCTGCTCAACAGGTAATAAAAGTTTATATGCATGATGCTAGAAAAGGTATAGCACATTTCCTTGTAATTCCCTAGACTCAATTATGTTTGTAATTAAGATGCACAGGTGTTGCAGGGACAAGGGACACACAAATTCCTTAGTATCTAATCTCAAGGACACCTTAATCCTCATTAGATACAAATTATGCGTCCCAGCATTAATGAAATCCACTCTAATTGTGGAAGTACTTGGAAACACGACTATCAGCTATTAGCCAAAGACCTCCACTGGCAGCATCACCTTACTTTTCCACTCTGCTTTTACTTGAAACAACAGGTTCTGATTCCAGTTTGCTCTGTGTGTGACCAGTTATAATCCATCTCTCCTCACTACTGCTGAACAAACAGTTTTGGAGGCCTGGGCAGACAATACTGAAGAAGACTGAGGCCATTTCCCATTTCCAAACGGGGAATTT